AACCATCGTGTTACAAAATATGATGGTCTTGGGTGTATCTTTTCCATTCTCTTTCAGCATTTTTATGAGCCAAATTAGCTGTTCTAACTGATTTAATTTCTTCGTTTTTGTCACATAAAATCTTAAATTTGGTCTGTTTGGACTAACATAGATAGAAGCAGCATCTAATTTCATGGATAAGAGACTTTTAATTGTAGCTTGGGTGTATTTGTCTGCTGTCCCAGTGATAGCTCAGATAGGAGTACCTACAGTTGAATAAAGCAAAACACAAATAGTAACCATTCACTGACAGAATAAGTACCATTGACAAGTAAAATCTAAAATGAAATTATGGGCTAGGTACTAGAATACCTCACCACTGCATTTAGCAGTGTGTAAAATTATGTTTCTGTTAGGGTTACGGTTAGTGGTTAGGGTATTTGTTAGCTTGGTGGTTAGGTTACTGGTTAGGTCAGTGGCAAGGTATTCTAGAATCACTCCGCATTGACACAGGGTTGTCATTAAGATATAGAGTAGGTGGCTGTATGAAAGAAGTAGACGGTTATGCCCAAATGTGGCACTAATTTGCTTGGGACCTTGGAGCATGCTCCACTGCAACCTCGTTCCCAGGGCTTTTCCCTTTTTGTCATTGGGAAGGCGGGAAAAGGCCCTGGCACCGGCCGGTCACATGACTTTCAACACCCAGATATAGTGGGTGTAATAAATTATAATAATAATGATTAGAAAATCCAAGATGGCCGCCAACCTAAGAGTGCAACAAAATTTAAGTGCTTAGAGCGGCTTAAAAATGCGTTTAGTCTTTGAAATTTTTCCTTCTTTTTGCTACCGACGTACTCGAAATCAAATTCTTCAGCTTTTATTACATGGGAACTATGTAGTTGCTGTTCTTCAACTGGGTTTGGTAAATATCGTTCGTTCGTAAACAAAATTAACAGCCAAAATATAGTATTACGACAGATGTTCTCCAGCTGGACAGGCTTGCCTAAGAGGACACGGAAAGTGTTTTGAACTGGGGATGTTAAACTTGGTTTTACCCTTCCAAAGACTCTGCTGTGCGACGATTGGAGCGAGTTTATGAGGAATATTTTATACAGTGATTCAAAGAAATGGTTTTGCATATACTGTATATGTTATTGATCTATTGTTGAATGTCACTTATATTATAAAGTGCCAATGGTTGGAATATTTATTCATTGATATTTTAAACACAGATGAAGTGTTATATGCTCTTTCTTTGTTTACGTTTTCCTTGCAGCCAAATGTTGTTGAAGCTGGCAAGCTGCAAAACTGACAAGCTGCAAAACTGACATATGAGTGATATGACCCAAATATTGGATATGCATCTTAGTTTGCTTCCAGTAAAATGTAAACAAGACCTTAAGAATTTGTCCCAGGGATAAAGGTAGGGATAGATTTTCCATCACAAAAGGGGCAAGGTGCCCAACCAGTTCTAAGATGGCATGTACTTTAAGTGACCATTCATTATACCCTAGGGTGGGGTGGGAGATTCTTATGTCAAAATGTCATGGGACCCCTTTTTAATCTCTTAATTTAATAATGGAGACCCTCCTAAATATTTAAGACTATATAACATGATGCAATTCTAATCTTCATTCATGTGAATGCCTGACTATGAAGAAAATACATTTTGCAACACAGGGATGGATCCAGCATGATCTGGTGGGGGGGGGGGTGCTCTGCCAGCTCTGGTGCCGAGTTGTGTCGGTCATGTGTGTCGCCCGCCCATCAACTTGCTTCACTACTGCAAAGTCTTGCTTTACTACTGTATTTGAATTGTAATTGTTGTTCACAGCTCGCTTATCATCATGTTATTACTCAAATTACTGTATCTCATTTTGCCTGTAATAATTTTTTGCTTTATCATGAAAAATAGCACCCCCTCTGGCCAGGGCCAGGGCTATATTAACTCATTGAGTGGCAGCATTCTGCCTAGACTTGCCACAAGTCGACCTCGAACGAAACGCAAGCAGTGAGTGTGAGCCGACCTTTCGTTCGAGGTCGACTTGTGGAAAGTCTACATTCTGCCCTTGAGTAAAATTGTCTGGCACTAGACGGAGTAATATACTAAAGTAGGGCACATTGCCACTCTAAAGGGTTAAACAAATTTTTAAAAAATTTGCAACGGTCTATATTCAAAAAGCTCTATTTGTAAATTTTACTTTTATATACCTACTTATACTTATAGCTACTTTGCCCCAGTCACTTCAAGTGAATTCTATGGGAGGAGGGGGACATGAAAATCCCTGGCTTTACTTGGTAAAAGCAAGAATTGAACCATGCATTACATGTATATGGAGAGCAGTTTTAAATATATTTTATCATGCAAATACCTTGATAATTGTTCTTAAACGTCTTTGGCTTAGAATGCAGTGGCGTAACTACTATGGGCTTGGACCAGGAGAACCCTGGGGCCCCCAACCCCAATGGGCCAAATGGGGGCCCCAGGCTATAGAGCAAAAACATTGGCCAGGGCCTCTGATATGTTACAATGTCGTTTTCTGACCATCAGAATTATGTAAAATCTCTCCCCGAACTCCCGGAAATGGTATTTCAGAGAATCTAGATTCAAAAATTTTCCGGGTGAGCATGCTCTGGACCCCCTAGAAAACGTGCATATATGGCGCTTGACTTGTGCCTTTGCCACTTCTACTAGGTGGGCCTTCAAAAGTTTGGAACCGGGGGCCCCTGAAATAATGTTACGCCACTGTTACAATGGGTACACCCCCCAAAGGTGTTTATTTACAGGGTCCAAAGGTGTAAATATACACTGTCCAAGGTGTTAATATAAACAATAAAAACAATGTATATAATTAAATCTTATTAAATAAAATGTGGAATATTTTACAAATTGCATTACCATCCCAAAGTGTACATAATTTATCAATATAATTAGGACTTAGAAGCTGTTCACATGAGTTTGACTCTGACCCAGCACCCTTGGCTAGCTCCCCTTGCCCGATCACAACCCCCTCTGACAAATCAGTCCAGATCTGCCCAAGAGGCAGGATTTTCTGGAATATTACTAGCAGTGAAATTGTTGCATATTTTCAAGCATGCATTGTAACCTGATTTTAAAGCCTGTTTGAACATCAGACATTGTGGTGATGGTCCAGCCCATATGAATACAATCTTAAAATATCATAAAAACAATGCAATTTAAGGCCAGACAGCCCAACTCCTGCGAACAGCCCTTTATTACACATTTGAAGCATCTCTTGAGGCATCAAAGTACAAGCATGCACATGGAATTACATACGAGTATGTGACATAAACCCACCATTGCACAACTTTGTCTGCAACAATGGAAATACAATCAAGCTGGAAACGGATTTTATCAGTATTTTGATATATACATTGATGGGTCATGTCTAAAGACACCTGCACTTTCATATTGAAATTGTTCTAATATCATCCAAACAAAACACATCGGAAAACTGTAACATCCGCCAAATGAGCAAATCACGTTTTTAACACAATTTATGGTAAAATGAAGCAACATGTAATAGTATCTGAAACAAAACCAAATCACATATTATTCAAAAGTTGTAAACACTGTTGCATATTGCTATACGAAGCCAATGAAGGCACATTTTGCCCTAAATACTCCTCGGTCAGAGCCTCAGGGGTGTGTTCTAGTACACAATTAATCTTCTCTCACAGTTTAAAACAAACAATAATACTAACCTTCGACAAATTGTGTATAAATCTTATCGAATTTAATCATTTTGCCACAGATTTTGCCATAAATATTTCTTAGACGGACAAAGTATTAATAATGGACACTCCTTGCGTGAAAATGTTAATATATCCCAAAGTTTGAATAAATTAATCCAAGATTGCATTATTTGCATAATAATGTACTTGTCATTGACCAATCAGAATACATAGAAGACCGGCCGGTGCCAGGGCCTTTTCCCGCCTTCCCAATGACAAAAAGGGAAAAGCCCTGGGAACGAGGTTGGCTCCACTGCATAAAGTTTGAGACTTGTACCCTTGAAACTGTATTTTCAGCCATTTTGAGAATTGTTTTGATTAATACTTATACTGTAGGTACCTCACTAAACTCTTAACTGTACGGCTATAGATCAATATAGCCGGCAGTCAGTGGTAAAGTAGACGGCAATATACCCCTGGTAACCGGATTCTATTGACAAGCCTGACTGACATTGTCAACACAATGCTTCTTGAAATATTTTAATAGTCTGGCTTGGCATTTGGCAATGATATTCCTGACACTATAAACGTTTGTATCAATTTGTTCATACATGTGTATAGGTTCAAATCACAATACAAGCATATCTGTTCTACAAAATCATCGTAGGGTACCCAATTAAGTGAAAGCTTCCCAAAATGGAGACGTCTTTGCACTGGTGTTATTAGCCTTCTTTGCCATTATGTTAAATATTTTAAAGCTTGTCTTAGAAGTATTCTGTTTTTAGATATTGTTACAAAATGAATATATTGGATTCACTGTAAACACAGCCATCAATGTAACTAATTTTACGGATTTTAGGCGGGATTTATGCAAATAATTAATAAATTGTGAATAATACATCACAAACGTTTACGTACCTTCTTCCCATCCAATTCTCATCAACGATTACTGCGGCCAGGTTTTCATAAATAAAAATATTTCCTACGGAAATATGGTTTTTTATGTCAAGCCTGAATTATAGTGATAAGATAAAAGTAGGAAATAGTTAGATTGGATTGTGGCAGATTAAGGTGGGACTTGGCGGAGAAGGAAATTCCGGTGCTTTTACCTACGTAAGAAACATAAAGTCAAGGCCAAATTTTAGCTACTAAAAGGAAAGCAAAGTTATTCACTTCTCAATTCAACCTTTCTCGTGATCGAGTGAAGACATACGAATTTTCTTTGACGTTTTGGACTTCTTTATTTTACCTTTATACAGGTGAGATTTTCAATTATTATTATTATTATATTATTCTTATATTTTGATACTTTTAAATTGGGTATTATGGAATTGTCACGCCCCAAAGTTCTTGTTTTTGGACACTCGTTTGTCAAACGTCTCCATCGCGATTTGCGCTCTAATTTCGACGTCCGTGCGGCCGTTAGTTTTAATATACAAAGGGCCTCCGTCAAATTGCATGGAATTGGGGGACGCACAGTAGACAACTTGATCGCGTTCGATTTAGATAAAGTTCGTTCATTTCGGCCTGCCATTGTAATTTTGGAAGTGGGTACAAACGACCTTAGCCATAGCAAACCCGAAGTAGTGGGTTCCAAAATCGATGACCTCGTTCATCTTTTACTTCAGCTCCCTTATGTTGAGATAGTAGGGGTTTGCCTCATTACACATCGGGCAGCTTCTCCGGAGTTCAACAGGCAGGCGTTTATTTTGAACCAATATTTAGAGGTCGTTCTGGACGGTGTTCCCAACGTTTTTTGCTGGAGTCATAAGGGAATCTTACAGCGCGTTAAATCTCCGTTTCTACCAGACGGTGTTCATTTCAATCGTAGAGCGCAATACACGCTGTATCGCAGTTATCGCGGTGCTATTCTTAAGGCTAAAAGCAAGCCTTCCTAGTTGTTAGTCTGTTATCTTCGGTTGTATGTCTTTTATACTTTTATGTCACCAGATACTGTTTAATTTTATTTAGATTTCTTCTTGCACGAGGCTACGCCCTCACACTTTGATTCTGGTGTTGGCTACGTCCACACAGAATATGTTTTATTTGGAGAAGTACTCCATGCTTTATAATCCTTGTGAGATTTTATTCTCGTTTATTTGTGATGGCTACGTCCGCACACGTGTTAATCTGAGGCTACGTCCTCATTATTTCTTAGTGGCGTTTTATTGGGCGACTGGTGCGGCCACTTTGTTGTGTGCCATGCTCGACCCAGCCTATATTGTAGTTTTATTTTATCTTAGATTTTATACTTCATAAGCTTTTAGTATTCTCCCACTACGTTCTGAGTGTGTTTTTTAGGAATTTTACCATGCCCGCCACTCAAAATCAACGTGCTCAGCGACCAGTATCGGTAGCTGTACCACCAGCATGCCGTTCCCATCGCGCTCGAGCGCCCCGTGCCTCAGGAACAACCACGACGGTTCCTTCGTCCAGTTCTCCTCGGCCAGCAACAGCTGCTCCTCTTGCTCCAGCCTCGGCTATCACGCCCCAACAGCTCCAAGAGATCGTCAGCTCCGTAACCGCAGAAGTGACTCGACGCCTGCAAACTGTAGCAACTCCAGTGCCTGGTGTTCACACGCAGTCCCATCGAGTTCTCCTTCTGGACCTGCTGCCTCAGTTACGGAATCGCCTATTGTCCGCATCGCAGAGCATGTTGCGACTCCTCCGACGGCTGTGGCGCAACTTGCTGTTTCCAACGCTCTTGGTTCGGCCCACGCCACAATTTCAGGTGAGACATTTTTGGCGCCTAATTCTAGCCATGTTCAACCAACGCAGGAATATCACTCTATTAGTTTACCTATAGACTGTCGGATTTCCATTAAACTTAAAAATAAAATTTGGAACGATGAATACATTGATTTCGGGTCTTTGTTGAGCAATCCAATGTCAGATAACAAATTCCATTTGAGCTTTAGCTCTTCTGACGCCGGTTTACCACCATCTCTTTCAGTAGAGCCGATAAGTAAAGCCAAGAAAATAACAAATATTTCTGTTTGGATGAGTGCGTTTCGCATTTTTGTAGGGGTTTATGCTCAAAAGTATCCTCATGAGTCCCCCGCACTCATGAAATACGGGGACATAGTACAGGACTTGGCAGATCGGGGTCAAAATTGGCGGTTCTATGATGAAAACTTTCGCTTTTTGCGTCAAACCCAGCGTAGTTTGTTGTCTTGGGCCAATGTTCACTGGGAATTGTGGCTGCGATCGCAGCATACTTCGCAAAAATCACCCAGTACAATGCAACGTGCCCCGTCTACCCTTTCTGGTAAGGGGCCGCAAAATTCAATTCCTCGAGGCTACTGCTTCAAGTTTCACAAAGGAGAGGCTTGTTCTGGGTGTGAATTTAAACATTCCTGTTTTAAGTGTGACGGCTTACACCCTGGCCTTAAATGTAATTTTCGTGGCCAACTCAGGCGAGATTTTCCCAGACCAACCCGTAATTCTGCCAAGTCAGGTGCTGCTCCCAACGCCAATCAACCTAAATCGGCTTGAGCCATATTTAAACGGCTATTTTGCAGACATAATTTCTACGCTTTTTTCAGGTTTTACTCATGGTTTTGCGTTACATTTTTCTGGTATTATTAATACCCAAGAAGGTAAAAATCTGCCTTCGGCTTTAGCTAATCCAACCGTGGTTGATAAAAAACTTGCTAAAGAACTGTCAGCTCTCAGGCTTGCAGGGCCTTTTACTGCCGCGCCATTTCACCCATTTAGGGTTTCTCCGTTAGGTCTAGTCCCAAAAAAGACAATAGGCGAATTTCGTTTGATTCACCATTTGTCCTTCCCGCGCGGTTCTTCTGTCAACGATGGCATAGCTACCGAAAACACCAGCGTGCACTATGCCACAGTTGCAGATGCTATTCGTTTAATTAAACTCGCGGGACCTGGATGTTTTCTTGCAAAAACCGACGTGAAGAACGCTTTTCGCATTATACCAATTCGACCCTCCGACCATTATCTGTTGGGCATGAAATGGCGCGGACGGTATTATTTCGATCGCTGCTTGCCTATGGGTGCTGCCAGTTCTTGCAAAACCTTTGAAGTTTTTAGTACTGCGCTTCAATGGATTGCTCAACACAAACTCGATACCGACTATATTTTACATTTACTTGATGATTTTTTGCTTATTTCGCCCTCTTATGACTCCTGTCAGACTCAGTTACATCGCTTTCTAGCATTTTGTGCATTTATTGGTCTGCCGCTGGCCCAAGAGAGTACGTTATTTTGAGGCACCTCGGGGATATGTGTTTATTCACCTCGGCGCTGCGCGCCTCGGTGAATAAATCACATATCCCCTCGTTGCCTCAAAATAACCTATACTTATTTGTACCAAAACCAAGAACGAACTACAGTAAGCGAAGTTTTAGTTATAGCGGGGCAGTGTTATGGAACGAGTTACCGCAAAATGTACGAACAACATGCTCCCTAAGTCAATTCAAAAGAGCAATTGACAATCTGTTCTCTATATGAGATGGACTCCCGCACGGCAATCTTGTAAATCAGTATTTTAGTGTTTGGATAAGTTTAAAGTGTATATTAATTGTCATAGCGTAATTGTAATTATATGTTAGTTAATTATCTTGTAAAATGTTATACTGTAGATTTCACCGTGGTAAAATAAAGTTTTTGATTGATTGATTGCAGTGGCGCCGCCAGCGCTATAATAGGTAGTTTACGATCTGCGACGCGGCCGGTTCGACGACGCGCTTTCAAAACAAAGAAATTTGGTGTTTTCACAAACAATAGTATTATGTGTTTTATCGCCATGCAAACCTACAAAGAACTTACAAAGAAATTTGTCATGCAAGACGAAAACTGTCAATAATTTGTGGTTCCATGAGTATTGTCAACCGCGTTGTCATTCTCAACACAACGTTAAAAAAGCATTATTACGTCTTTCAGGCAACGCGAAAGCTTGATGCGACACAAGAGGTGTTAACTAAAAGTCGAAATTACAGCAAACATTGCATCGCTTTAGCCGAACGTAGCATTATGTAAGGTTATTTGAAAGAATCAAATATTTTTAATAGCCTGCGAACAGGCTCTCAAGCTGAATTGAGAGCCTGCATCGATGACTAATGAATTTGAATATCTGCCCCGTAACGTTCGTTTTTCCAAATATGGAATGTCTATCCTTATATGGCGTTGTTTACAACTTTCGTGCAAACTAAATTTAGACCGTGCAAACTAAATTTAGACCGTACAGTTTGTACTGTTATTCGAAATATAAGATATTCAAGCAAAAGTTTAAATGTTTTAAATACTGTTTTCTCGAAACAGAACACTTCGTGCTTTGAGATAAGATGGCCAAGACCAATTTGATCAGTTAATGTGTTTTTTATGCATAGTGCTTCAGCAGTTGACATATATAGAGCTCAGCGGAAACATATAAATTATAGCATCTGACCAATGAGAATTTCGCGTCACGATTTGAGACGCAGATATTCAAATTCATTAGTCATCGATGCAGGCTCTCAATTCAGCTTGAGAGCCTGTTCGCAGGCTAATATTTTTAACAGCTTAGCGCTCATCCTTGACCTAAAATTTAGACCGCGTCGTTGAGCCGGCCGCGTCGCAGATCGTAAACTCTTTATTAGCGAATATTCATATATTTGTGTTCACAGACCATAAAAACAATCGATTTCAAAAGAAGTTAATAATGCAGAACACGAAGATATGAATATTCGCCCCCCCCCCCCAATTATCGAGCTGGCGGCGCCACTGATTGATTGATTGATTGATGAACTTGATCTAATCAATACGCCGCTTTTTTGGGCAGTGATTTTTATCGGAGTAAGTATTTTGCGTACTGACAATTAATAAGCAACGTCTATACAAGGTGTCCAAAGAAAAGTCCCCCTTTAGAAATCACTCTTGTGCGTTATCGTATACCTTTGGGAATTTAATTTAATTGTACATGAACGGCGGAAGTATTTACAACTTCCCTTCGTCCAAATAATTTAACACTTCGGCCGGTCGCACTTTGCGTTAACGTATAAGTTGTTACGACAAATACTCGCTGCTCTGTAGTCAGTTGAACCATTCCTACTCGAACTGACGGTAAGACGAATTTGTAATTTGACATTTTTGTGTTGTTGTTCGTTTTAGATGCTATTTTAAATTCCCAATTTAAAGAATGGCTAATTTGAATTTGAAATGGTGTACATTTTTTTGATACACCCTGTATAGCCATAGGCTGAAACGCCAAAATATTGGGAATTTAATTATTCGACAAATGCATTCATTTAGCCAAACAAGACAGGATGGAATTCCTCTCAGGTATTGATGGATATTATTATGCACAAACAAACATCAAAATCGTTTTTTAGATTGTTCAGAGCCAGTTGCGCTAGGCATGGAATTGGGTTCAATATTGGATGGTCAAATTACAGCCTCGAGCATGTCTGAAGATGGGGATTTTACTCCTACATATTCCAGGTTAAATCGTCCAGGTGGGTTTAAACCTACATCCACAGTGACACAGCAATGGTTGGAAGTTGACTTTAAGGTAAATCCACTGATGCTAAATGTAAAGTAAGTTTAGGTGGTGTTATTCGTCCTCTATCTTGTGGTAATTAGATTTACAACTGAGTAAATTGAACTGTGCAGTTATATACAAAATACAAAACAACAATAACTCCAAAAAGGAACATTTTAATATTCTAGCGTTCGACTACGTTTTAGTCATCATTATAGGAATGATGCTATGGGTTACATTACATTGATATTTATTGGTACATATTTATACAGTACAAATCAGTGCAGACATCGTCAGTGCAGCTTGGTCCACGTCTAGATCGGTGAAGCATTCGCTATTTATATCACATGAGCTTGCTCTCAACAAGGCATGGGGCCTATATATATATATATATATATATATATATATATATATATATATATATATATATATATATATATATATATATATATATATATATATATATATATATATATATAAAGTAAGCGTAAAAGTGTCGCGAAAAAATTAAGGAATAATATTAATAATAATATTTAATATTTATATTGTGCAAATTAACATGTTATAGTATATGATCAAGGAAAATACGATTCAGCAATAAAAATAGAATCATATAGAAACATAAACCATTAAACCACACATATATTTTATAGTCTAAGGCAAACATCAGACTAGTAAGAAATAAATAACTTTAAAATGTAAATGTTAACAACAGAATGTCATAATTACAATTGCAAAATGTACAATGTTAACAAAACTTTAACAATATTTCACATGCATATATGCATTTGCTGTACTATTGTCAATTGTCTGAGCAAATCAGTTTGAATCAGTTATACCACGGTCAATAGAACCACAGAATAAGTACACACCGAGATCTCAGTGATTCAGATTAATTTAGCGTAAGGGATTTTTTCGGTACGCCATGTTTTTAGGAAGAGCCCTAACGAGAGGCAGTCAACCCCCTGAAAACATATTGAAATTTAATCTTCCAGGGCCTCTCTTTAGGGCACTTGCTGAGAACATGGCCGCTATCTATTTTGGTAAAAATTACCTTACGGTTTTCCCTCAGAAATGAAACCTCTGTATGTAAGTACTCTGCATGCGATGAAACTGAGAGGTAATACGTATAACTATCAAATATAGACATTAAGTTATATATTATATAATTTTAATAAAATAAATAATTTGCCTTCTAATTAATTTCGCGACACTTTTACGCTTATTTTCGTAAAAACGATGTAAATGAATATTTTAGGGGGATCTTTGTTTTCGTAATTACAAAGACCGATCGCGAAGACCCATCTTAGGTCTTCATTTTCGTAGGTCTTCGTTTTCGGAACGCCCGGACTATAACTGTTAACCTGCCAACATTCATGGGCGATATATACTAAAACAGGACCACACTGTTAACTTGCTTTTATAGTAAGGGAAATACACAAGACCAAAATATATTTAGGGGAAAATACGGAGCACCAAACTGTTAACCTGGTGTTATATCAGACTGTTATATCTTATTTGATATGGTAGTTTGACTATTATCTTCTGTATGTGCCTTAGGCACTTCCAGTTTTTGAAGCACTTCCAATTTCGTTCAATGGGTGCGGTAGCCCTCCAGCACTCAGAGATTCTGGAAGATAGTGATTTTACTGTATATACTGTGACTCTTGGAACACCGTATGGCGCTGGGTATAGAAAAGCTTTATTTGGAAATTTACGTATTTTTACAATTTTTTGTAAAGGTCGTTACAACAGTGAGCTCAATCAATACTCAAGGATGGGATGGCTACTGGGTGACAAATTTCCAAATGTCTTACAGTAATGAAGAGAATAATTTCGTAAAATTAAAGGCGGTCGGTGGAGAAGACTTGGTGAGACATTTTATTCTAATTTCAACTGGCAAGCCAAGCCCGTTCCACTCATGCACACGTGATGTTATTTTCAAAAATATTGTAATAATTTGAAGCTAACGATTTCGCAAAGCAGCTAAAGCAGAACAAACAAACGAACGAAGACGAAAGAAAAAACAAAGAAACAGGAAAACATTGAATTAAATAAACAAACAAAGAAAAAAGCAAGGACCAAGAAACAGACAAAAGAGTGGACAAACAAACTAAAAAGCACAACACTTATTGGATGTAATAATTTTCTTTTTAGTAACGACCAGAAGGCTTTTTTTACAATTTATTAAATTTGTTATAAAAAAAAGCCTTCTGGTCGTTACTAAAAAGAAAATTATTACATTTAAATGAGGCTTAGAGAAAGTTCGCTTCTAATCACTTATTGGATGTTTATATATAGACGCGTTCAAAATGCGTTGGACAGCCATTAACGCTAACTCTGGGTTAAAATTGAATCTCATGCTTATTTGGTTTTTGCATATTTCTACACAATCATCTGCTGCACAAAACTTCTTTTGATCCAGACAAGATTTCTGAAGAAATATTTCCGAGTTTATAAACAAGCTGTTGGGGAATTTGCTTTGAAATTTAGGTTAACATAGTGTTAAGCTAACCAGCTTTCGAAATGAGCATACAAGTATACGTACAAGCAACAGACAAACGAAAAACAAACAAACAAGTGAAAAAACAAACAAACAACCAGGGACTGAAAACAAACAAAACAGACAAGAAAAAAAAATCTAACCAACATCTAAGTAGACAAAAACGCAATCAAGATGTATACGCTTAAATATAATAATCAATTCCAGGTTATAATTAATGCTTATTCATTTTATATCTTAGACTTTTACTGGAAATACAAACGTATCAGCCGTGTCTACCACCTTCACTCCTAACATTATAGCTCGATATGTAAGGTTTTTACCGACAGAATGGTACGACGGTCATCCCTATGTTCGGTTGGAATATTATGGCTGTTATGGGGGTAGGTTTTGCATTTTGTTATGGGGGTATAGGTTGCATGCATCATATTGCATGCATTAAAGGCTCTAAACTTTAATATGACTTTTTTAATGGAAAAATTCGAAGAGACATTAAAATTTTCACCGGGTGGCCATACAAAACCATAGGTATAGGAGGTATATAGATTTCTGGTATATACATGCATCGCCAAATTGAAAAAAATACTCTCCAAAATTCGAACCAAATTTGCCCGGTCGAGCCGCAAACTGGAGAGTATATTCAATATTTCAATGCATATGTCATGTTGAAAAATTTGAATGTTTATCGTTTAAATAACAAGCATATGTTTGGTTTCCACTAGGCCATGGATGGTGATTCTTTTCAGCATTTACGCCATGCAGACTAACCTGAGTATCAGGCTCTATTTTACAAATAGAGCCTGACACAAAACTTAGCCTGATCGCTTTCCGCCCACAGCAAAGTTTATATTTAGTATCCAATCAAAATGTCGCAGGAGAAATTTAAATTTCACAAACGACAACAACAATCTAATTATAGCATAGGCAGCCCACTAAACGGCTGAATTTTATAAAATTAACAAAAATAATCACAAATTAGCGAAATATATTGCAAATGTAGCTTATACTAAATCGCCACCCGATTGCTCTTTCCTCCGCAGAGGTTTCAGTGACTACAATGAGCTTTATTATAAAGTATATATATATATATATATATATATATATATATATATATATATATATATATATATATATATATATTATAAGTATACTTTATAACTATACGTCAGTAATTAATAGTCGATAGTGCAATCTGATGGCGATTTAATATAAGCTACATTTGCAATATATTTCGCTAATTTGCGATTATTTTCTAATTTTACTGCAGTTTTAATTTAAATTCAGCCGTTTAGTGGGTCGGCTATAATTGTAGTTGTGATCGTTATAAAATATATCAACAACAATAGTATAATCTAATTAGCACCAGCCAATCAAATGACAGATTTAAAAAATCGTTTGTCTAATCGGCCAATCAGCGCTCAGTCCAGATTCTGGACTGAATAACCAGGCAAAATGCCGCTTTTGTGTCAGGCCGTACTTTTCTCCCCTTCCCCCGCGATCAGGCGTGCCTGTGCCCTAAAAAGTACGGCCTGATACTCAGGTTACATGCAGACACGATATCTAAACCACATTTGTCAGAATTATTCGTTCATGACATTTAATTTGAATGGCAATTGACCATTTGCGTAATAGACTAAATTTTGATCTCAACAAAAATTTTATTACAGCTTGAAAGAGCATCACAAAATTAGTAATATTCCAAAGTTTCGTTGCAAAATGTTGTAAAATGCGGAAAATATAGCCTTGCGAAATTTGCAATTTTCAGTCATTTTAGATTACAAACCGGAAATTGAC